CTACAGGTGAATAGAATATATAGAAGATAAAAGTATCTCGTTCTCTATGATGCTCTAGCCTCCTATATCAGAATCTTGTTCTCTTTAATGTTTTTTTGTAGGCAGCCAATGATCTCTAGAACTTTATTATAGTAACGAGAACAGAAAAGGAGAGGAGAATGAGACAAAAGAAGACGAGAAAAAGAATGAAGAATCAACAGGTGCAGCACTCTTTCGTGTTCTAATGTCAGATTTTTTTAAATGTCATCCGCTATTTTTTGAATAATTCTTCATCATTGATAGCTTTCGAGTTCGGGCTTTAGCCGTTCGATAGAGTGGCGTTAGGGGCATCTATCTATATGAGATTCATTAGGACCAGAGAAGTTTTTTTTTATGGTAGATATTTAATTGATACATTTTTCATTACCCATTTCCGTTAGTTTTTGTAGAGACATATGGTTAAATTACATCAAAGTCTGACCTGAAGGGTACTCTATCCGTGATAAAATTTTCAGGTCTTGCTGTGATTGTCTCAAATACGATAATCGTTTAAAATCTTGAAATTTTAATGCCAACTCAGGAAAATCGGAGCTACATTTTGATGTAACTTAAGCTTAGGTCTCTGGAAAACTAATGAAAATGGGTAACGAAAAACATATCAATCAAGTATCTACCATAAAAAAAACTTCTCTGGCCCTAATGAATCTCATATAGATAGATGCCTCCCATGCTGCTCTATCGAATGGCTAAAACCCGAACTCGAAAGCTATGAATGGTGAAGAATTATTCAAAAACATGGCGGATGACATTTTAAAAAATATTCCACGTTAACTCAGATTACTGCGATTATCTTTGACTATAACACTAAAACACCAGACTATGGTGAAGATAAAAGAGCTGCAACAATACGCGGTTCAATTATTAACGGAATGTTTTGCAACATGCGTTCTCATACTGATGGGCGAAGCTGCTATTGCTAACTATAAATTTACCAAACAACCTTCTCATTCTACACTTCCAATTGCTATTGCATTTGGCGTCGGTGTCTACTCAGGTAATATTTATAGAAACAAGTAGAGAATGGGGGTAGACTGGCTCAAGCTCACGAACCCAGATCAAACGAGCAAAAGAATTGTTGAAGTAGTTCTTTCGATACGAACTGATCTTCTCGTACAGTTCTTTTGTGAAGAACTGATCTAATCGAACAGAGGGTGTGGATGTGAGTGTAGACATTCACTTTTTTGATACATTCACACCCACAGTCCACCCATCTACACCCTTCACCCCGACCAAAAGATCTGTCTAAAGAGATCAATTCTTATCAGAGATGGTTTTGAACAGTTCTTCAGATCCTAACTAAAACTGAATTTGTTGATGTCTAGTAGAGAAATCAGAATAGCATCTCCATTGATCATTTTTCAGACATTATAATAAAATCTATTTTCTTTTCCAAAAGGACCCTTCATTGTTTGATCACTTGCATTCTCTTTTCTGGCCTATTGCTTCTCTAACATAGATCATCCTTACCATATTTCAAGCACGAATTTGATATCCATCCAAATGAAACTAGTTTATTGCAAAGACTTACTTGATATATCTTTAAGATAGCAGTACGATAGGGTTTTATCTTTCTTATTGACTAATGGATAGCTGAAGTAATTACAATTTGTAATAACTGACGTTTATTAATCGTCTGCTAAGGAATTCGTCAATTCATTAAGTAATGAGTTACCTTAGTGATTTATTATCTTGCGAGTTTTTCTTTAAAAACGTACTTACAAAGAGTTTTCTAAAAAACACCATGCCGATATAGAAACAAATGAAGCAATACTTCTAAGGTCACCATCAAATAATTTTATCTCTATCACCTGAATTGATCTTGCATATATGGATCATAAGTCACAACGAACTAAATCGTCAGATGGCAGAAAATTTTGTCAAGGTGAGTAATAATCAATAATAATAATTTTGAAGAGTAATTTAATACTAATTTTAAGTAGTTTGCTAGTTAATGATTTGGTGCAACTAATTTCTATTTTTAGTTACTTCTGTTAAGAATCACAACTTGAAGAAACCTAAACATGACAATAATACGTCTGATCGGTTGATCATTTTTTTGATCTGATATTAGTAACTTCATGAAAATAACCTTTTTTCTGTGTCTGTGACTACTGTTCTAGCCTCATTTCATCGGGAAAAAGTCAACATACATCGGGACACAGGATGCAAACTGCAAAGAAGTACAGGTTTTCAACAGAAATCAAATCCATCACTTTTTGTTTCCTAATACCTAAAAATATATTAATTTATTTATTTTCTTGTTTTTTTCAGCACTGATGCTTGGTGGATCAATTACTGGTATGAGAAAGACTTAGCATGGCATTTAACAGAATTCCATATTGATTATTCTAGGTGCGCATATCAATCCGGCTTTGAGTATATCGTTAATGACTATTCGCAAACTGAAACCATTACAATGTATCTTCTATGTTATTGGTCAAATATTGGGTGCGTTTATAGGAGCTGCCCTGGTCTATCTTGTCTACTTGAAGCAATTTGATGAACTCGATGGTGGTATACGAAAAATGACTGGCCCCAATGGTACAGCTGATATTTTCTTTACGATGCCTGCCGAAGGTACACCACATTGGAATGCGTTGATCGATCAGATTGTCGGCACCGCTATTCTAATGGTCTTTGTCATGGCAGTTACACATGTGAGAGAGTAGCTAGGTATAGATGAATGATTGATAAATTATTTTATGTAGAAATTGAATCATATGGTATCAGAAGCAGTCAAACCGGTTGCATTTGCGCTGATCGTTACAGGCATTATTTGTGCATTTTCAATTAACGCTGGAGCTGCAATTAATCCTGTTTGGAAATTCTATATATTAATTTGTAAAGTATTATTCTTTTACGTTTTTATGCTTTAGGCTCGTGATTTGGGTCCACGTCTTTTTGGAGCACTTGTCTATGGTTGGAATGATGTATTTGGTGTGCATAACTATTTCTTTTGGGTACCGATCGTTGGTCCAATTGTCGGAGCTATTCTTGGTGTATGGATCTACCAAGGTTTTATTTGGATCGTGAAGCACTATGGCCATCTTTCCAATATTGAAGATAGTAATGCCGATAAAAAGATGGATTCCAAAGCGATACCGATAACAGAGAATGATTTATCAGATCTTTGATAAAGATTCACAACCGTGAACGAATAAATGAAAATCGTATAATTATGAATTCATAAAACTGTTCATTTCAGCCCGATTTTTTCATATACAATACTTACTGTATTGTAAGGTTTATTCTCATCTTACCATACAAAGTATTGAACGGCACGAAGACAGTCAAAGAACATTGCATATTCTGCTAGTATGAAATAAGTTACAAAAAAAAACATTTTATTGCTTATTCTTACATCATCGAACTGATTGTTTCTGGCTGCCAATCACCTTCGCATTGTTCTCCAGAGCGAAAGTAATAGTAATGTGTATATGTGTTGTACTGGAATAGAACGGCAGACACAAAACAGGTAACGTTGTACGCGCATAGATGATGCTGATCTTAAGTATCTCGATAGAGACTCCTAAATTTTATTACTGTTCAATCACAAGTATCAATTATTGTTATGACTTTTCGAAGAATGATGTCCCGTTTGGCACATGATCAAACAAAGGAAAATCCTTCATTAATGATCTTGTTGGACGTCAATTTTCCACATGAATTATTGTGACATGTTCGTCTTCTCACGGATCACTTCGAAACTAATGTCTGAATGATAAGCCAGCAGTCGAATATGGCCGTTGGTTTTTGAGTGCCAGCCGAATTGATGTATTGGCTAAGGAAAAGTAACTACAAGAATTACAAAAACCAATGTGCTCTCACAGGAGCTTCTGTTTCTTGTCGAGTTCGCTTCTTTCGATAGTTTTATATGGATGTTTATTCGCCAGGTTGACATCACTCGCGTCAACACTTCACAATGCTTCTGTTGACAGATCGAATAAAAAGTCAGACGATCTGGCAATATTCTAGTGTGGTTAATGAAGCTGAGGTTGTGTCAGTCCATAAAGAAATGTTGTTGAAAGTTTACTCTTTTGGACTAGGTCATTATATACATTATCCAGTTTCTTTCGATTGGAAGTGTTTTAAAGAATTGTTAAAAGCATGTCCCACAGCTTAGCTTCACGAGATTTTAATACAAAATTTTGTCACTCTGCACTTCTCAGTGTTTCCAAAGTATGTTTACTTTCGGTTGCTTGTGGAAAATGTATATTTTATGCGTTTGTTTACATCGATGAGGAGTATCATTTTGACAATAAGAGAAGATTAGATTTTCATAATAAAAATTATTTTACAAATAATCTCTGCATGATACGATATTTTTGAATAGATTCAACACCTACCGAAATAAGAGGGTGTGGGTGTGGCTGTGACCATGGTTATGGATGTGAAGAGAATACACACCCACACCCACCCTTAATCTTTTTGACTTTTCCAACTCATACAAAATTAGAATATTTCATTTACATTTTTCGGAATATAAAAAGCATTAAAAAATATTTCCAAAATTTAAAAACATACAAAAGACTAAAATAAATTAAGAAAATATATACAAAAAAAACAAAGTTTATTCATTTGGTTCATTAAATCATTTATTTATCTATATATTTACTTATTTATCATTTCCTCGGTCTTTACTCATTTTCTTTACAACATTGTTAATTCGCCTTTTGCATCTAAATTCACACCCACACCCCAAAATTAGGGACATACAAAAAGAACCCGCTCAAGAATTGATATTTCTGTAGTCTGTTGCACTCCTCTGTATCTCATAGATCTTCGTTTTTTTTCGATATGTGACATTGTTGCAACATTAGCGACCAGCTACATAGTCCTAATACGGTAAAATATTTTTTTCTCATGAATAATAAATGCAACACATGATTCTTTTTCATAACATAAAAAGAATCATGCAATTGAATTATATTTAGCTAGAATATAAATAAAAGCAAAATAATTCATGTTGCTGTTGTAGGTTCGACAGTTGTTGTTAATGGTGAGCTAATTAAAAAAAGAATTACAAAAATGCGTAGAGCTATTTTAGGATTTAATTAACTTACATCGAGATACACAAATTGTCTATTGCAAACTCCGCTGGATCAGTAGTTGAAAAGGTGATGCTATCGATATTCAAATAGTTTAATTCGATTAATTGTGGCCAATGTGTGTATAAAGGATACATTGCAGAACCCCATATTTTTGATGAACGTTTTCCAATCATTATTAATTTTAACCGATTTTGAAAACCAGAAGAAGCAATTAAAGAATATAAATTAAACACATATGGTGGATTAGAACTAATTGTCATTGTTGATCCATTTTTATTGTATGCAATATATCCACTTTGACGTGCCGTATAGAAACCACTTGTACTATAAAATGGAAAAGCAGTTACATTCATCACATAAAAATTTTTCCATTGTAAGCCAATGTAATCAGAAGGTACTTCGCCTGAAGGTTCATTTGTTATGGTGTCGAATGTAATGAGATTCGAATCGGAACAATCTACAAAATGAATATTGTTCAATTTTCTTCCAAAATACCTATACTTTATTAGAAGAAGAATTGGGTACAGTATACTATGTGTCGAATGCTTATTTTATCTTAAGAACTAGTTATTTTTTTTAAAGCTTTAGATCAATAACAATCATGAATATCATAGAAAGAATTTTGCAGAAGCTTTTTAATGGTTGTAAGACGTAATAATAGTCTGTTTTGTCGACATTATTGAGTTTTAGGCCATGTTATTTAAAACTATTAAAAGTTGGTGTCTTCTTCAAAATCGTTCCAATTGATGCGTAGGATGAGTATCAGAGATTCAACTTATCAAAATAGCCTTGTGTTTTTCGTACTATCTTCATGAAGGACAACTGAGGTTAATAATATCCAGAAATTTTCAGAACATTCGGACCTTATTTGTTGGAGTATTTTGTAATATTTAGTAGAAGTAATCTAATTTTGAACTTTTTCAAAATAAACATTTTTATGGGTGGTTTTTCAAAAGAGCCCAAAAGTTTATTAATTTATCACCGAAGATATATATGCTGATCTTAAACACTGAATTGCAAAAAATTCGAGATCCCTATCTTACTTTGTGGAATACGTGTCGTTGTTGTTGTTCGTATTGATGTTGTTGCTGTAGTAGTTACCTCTGAAATATTAAAATTTCTAAATTAAAATCTTTGAAACAGATTGTCATTCAATCCTTTATCAATGCATTAGCTTTTTATTGTATCTCACACACTATCTATACTTGTTAAAGATTTTTTATCTACTGATTAGATTGATTCTACCAAGCAAAATAAGGTTATTAAATAGATTTTTCATAGTTCTTTGCTATTACGATGTTCAATGTAACGTTTTAACTGAAAATATTTTTTAAAATCTGAATATTTGTCATGCTTTTGTGAAAATAGATAATTCGTTTATTATACAAAATAGATTAGACCTACACTAGTCAGAAATTTTTGCAACAAGATAACCGACACTCATCACTTTAGAAATTTAAAACTTATAATTAATAAAATCTTCGCTTCGACAGTATCAATGTAAAGCAATAATCGTATGGAATAGTATCGTATGCGTCTTTTCTTCGCGTAAAAGAAAAAAAAATTTCCAAGTATCAGCAACACATCAATGTCCATTAAACTTTCTTTATCACTTTTAGCGTCAATATTTCATTCAAATAATGTAGTCTTTTTGTACTTATTTCATTTCTCTGTTGAGAAAAAAACAGAAACACTTACCTGCTGTTGTAATGCTTGTGCTCGTAGCTGTTGTAGTGCTCGTCACTATTCATCAAGAGAAAATATTTATATAAACAAAACAAAAATCACTTTTAAGCAGACACAATATGCTCTGATTTTCAATTGAATCTTCAATTAAAGATACGAACGAGACTAGCTATTTTTTCTTACAGAGAATATACATCTATCATTTTTTACACAGCCAAAATCTTAATATAAGATTTAAGTTTTTGATAAATTGATAGATATAATTCTTTGTTTTCTTACTTGTAATTGGTGGACACATTTGTTGATCAATCATTGATAATGGATAGCAAACCGGAAGATTATGGCATCGTGGATGACGAATGCAGATATGATTAGGCTCATCACAAGCATTGTTTAAAGATTCACAGGAAACAAGTTCAGAGCAAGTCACTCCGAGAAAACCACAAATAGCAATATCATCAAAATCTGCTCTATAAAGACATCCACATGCACTATTTGTCGAACATTGATCATATTGAGACATTCCATCACATGTTTGAGAATTCACTCGAATAATTAAACAACTAAATTAATAATTGAATATGTAAAACAAAGTCTTCAATGTTGGAGGTATCAAAAAAACGAAAGATTTTTAATTACCTAAGAAGAATAAATATGAAAAAACGAACTGCTGTTATACTCATCGCTTGTGTTAGTATGCATCAGAGTCGTGATGATGTCTTTTTTCTTTATACTTCTAGGATTGAGGCGATATTTGATACGTTATTCTTTAAAAAGTAGAAAGCAAACGACTTAATTGTTTCGTAAAGAGCAACTCAATATTGTTTCTACGAGTGTGTGTGTATATTCGATACCTACTCGACACCCACATGCTATTATTTTGTATCTACTTGAGTATTGATGATGTGCATCATAATAAAATCCTTATGCCATTTCTTGCCTGTCGAAGAAAATTTGAGACTAATTAATAAGCATCTTCAATTCGAAATCTTCTAACATATTTTATAAATTGGGCATTCCATATCAAAACTAAAATTTTGTTTTAAAGACTCAATTTTTTTTTCAAAATGTCCGTCTTTTAGCGCTGAATCTGAATATCAAATTAGAAAGTTTCTTCAAACTCTAGATTTTAATAAAAACTCAGTTTTTTCAACACCTATAGCTGAAAAACCGCGGTTTTCTGGAAATCTAATTTGCGAGCGTTTTGGAGAAAACTTTCTAGAGACAAAAAGAAAGAGCACGTCGAGAAACCCTTACAAACCAAGAGACAGCTCAATATGTTCAGTCGTTATCAAGATGATTTTCTCATGCAACACGCCTATTGTTCAACATGGCATAAATATGTGACTTTATATAAAAGTAATAAGATAAAATGGTCTTGTCAAGATGCTCACAAGTAAGGATTGAGGGTTTCATTGATAAAATGTACGTCAAAAGTACTTTACAGTGATTTTCTGATTGGTAATGACATTGATCAATGTCATTCATGATCTGTGTTTCTTTGTTTTTACAGATGTATTTTAATCAATACCAGTCCGCTCTTGAATCATTCTTTTGCTCATATTCATTTATTCATTCAGTTCATTTACATATGTATCATTATGAACAATCTAGATATATGTATGGTGATGAACAAGTAAGATGTATGTTCATTAGAATAGACAATTTGTTTCATGTCTGTCGTCTCCGAAAAACATCTCCTTTATCATTTGCAATTATTTTTTAACTAAACATTTTTCTCTATACAAAAAATAATGCAAATCTATATAATGTTTTGAAAAGATGACTATCAAATCTGTTTTCTGATGCATCATACATTTCTATACTACTTTGTCACATTCTTTTGTCCTAATTTAATAATTTCTTGCTTAGATTCATGGTAATTAGAAATATAAGTAAGTAGACAAAGCATATATTTTCTTAAAACATATCTTTCATTTAATTATTAATTTTAGTTTTCAATAGTTCTATCATAAGTTTTACTAAAATAACTAAGACGATTATTTTTTTTGTATAAAACAGATTAGAACTACCAATAGATGTTACTTTACAATGGTTAGTCATCTTGACAAGATCCATCAATGAATTGTGTTCATGTAAATGCGTATCAGCTGATAATGTTGTGAAATTTTTGAAGTATGCTTTTTCCTCTTATTTTCTTCGCATGAAATCGAAATCTTCAATATGTTTTATAGTTTGTGTGAAGAATATAAACATACCACATATTTTCGTCGTTATTTCTATCTTGCTGTAGAATGTATTTGGGAAGAAAATTTAAAATGTTTTACTAAGTAAATTGCACTTGTTCAATAAATTGATTATGAATTCCAGTGTTTATATACTTTAGAGAACTGAGGCTATGTTGAATGAGCAGAAACTGAAATGTTATCAAAAATATAATAAACATCATATAAAGGTAGTAAACGAATTAATAGAAAATTTATTTATCATAGAAGTTGCATGCGAGTTTTCAAAACATGATATTGATGACGTATGTCACATGATGAATATTCGTTTGAAAAAAAAAACTGTATTTGTTCTATTATTAGTGATTAAAACAAATTTGGCAAAAAAATTTCTTCAAACCGCTTATCCCTAACATAACATTAGCTTGTTTAAATTTGACCAATACTCAAATTCAATATATGTCTATCAATGTCGAACTTATTAAAAATATGACAAAGTTTTGTATGATTTTAAATATTTATTGATTCATTTTAAACGTTGATTATAGTTTTTTGTAGATTCTAATAAAACAGATGTGAATAACAATTGATTTATATCAAAAATTTTTTCAATTTCAACTTGTAAGAGAAATTGAAAATATTCCTTCATATCCAATGATTTTTTATGATGAACAAGAAGGAATATACAAATATATTGATAAAAAATATTTTTGATTGAGAATTAAAAATAAAATCAATTTTTTGATCTTTCTGCCAAATAGGTTATTACCTATCTTAATAAAGAAGTCATTATATTGGACCGTATTTATCAACATTTGAAAAACAATTCATTATTGAACAAATATTTATTCGAGATAATCTAAGTATTGTTATTAATAAGATTGAAATCATACTAAAGAAACAACAATATGAAGATGAGCTTATGATTGAATGTATTAATATTTTTATGCAATTTTTTTAAAGATTTAATTCACTTGTTAGAGCGATTTAGTCAAATGCCAATGGTAAAGAATCAACTGGCAAATATGTTTGAAAATTTTGTATATCAAACTGGCATTGAAGTAATTGAACATAATAAACAAACAGCAATTAATATAAGATTTAGTGTTGTATGTTGTCGATTTCTATTCTTCTTGTCTTTTAGGATCCAAAAGTTTATGTTGAAATAGTTGTTGGTATTTATGAAAAATTCTTGAATTCAGTCAATGATGTTTTTCGAAATAAACGAAATTTGAATGTTGCGCTTGACAAAGTAACCATTTATTTAGTGTGATGTTAATTTTCTCTATTATAATATCAAGACTTGTTGGAAATTCATTAATCAAAATCCAATGACAGATGAAAATAGAATAAAATCAGTTGAGCTATTAGTTAAATATTGTCATAAACTTCTAATAAAATGGTAAAATAATATAATTGCATATTTGATTTATCAATTTTTTATATTTTTGTTCTAGTGATAAAATAATCGAAGACAATCAATTTGAAGAGAAACTTAAACAAATTATAGTATATAGATGATTTTTTTTTTTAATATCTGATAAATTATTTTTTATTGTTTATATAACTGATTTTCAAATATATCGACGATAAAGATATCTATGAAAAAATCTGTCGAAAATTATTACTACAACGATTAATCAAACAATTAAGTTTTTCACAAGATTATAAAGAATCAATGATTTCATCATTAAAAGTAAATTGCATATTTAGTTCTTCTTTGATTTAATCTACTTTTGTATCTCAAAGATGGATGTGATTCACAATATGTATCAAAACTGAATCAAATGCTGAATGATATTAGTATTAATAGAGTTTTAAATGATGAATATCGGACATATTGTGAAAGTAAACAACATCTAGTTGAGAATTTTTCTATAATAGTGCTTACAAGGAATTCATGGCCACTGTTAGCTTCTTCAAATATTATTCTTCCAAATGAAGTAAAGTTAATCTTTGTCATTGTTTTAAGGTTTATTTGTATTTTTTAGTTTCAAGTGAGATATGACAATTTTATTCAGTTCTACAGACAACGTCATAAAGGTCAAAAATTGACATGTCTTTATGAATACTGTACAGCAGAATTAGAGATAAATTTTATTAAACAGAAATTATATACTACAAGTAAGAGCTTCGCATCGTTTATTTTGCAAATTAATTTGAATTTAGGTATCGATGTGTCCAATGGTTATTTTTCTTATTTTTAATAATTCATCTGAATGGACAATTGAAGAAATTCATAATAAAACAGGAATGAATATTGACTTCTTGATATTAGTATTGAATTGTTTATTAAAATTTCATTGATTAATATATGCACAACTTAAAAGTGAAGATTTAACAGAAACAAATATTAATATAAATTACAAAATACAATTGGTTAATAATTATGAAAGGTATGATATTATTTTTGTGTCTATCTATTTATTTATTTATTTTGTTTTATGGTTTCAGTGATAAAATTCAAGTAAGTTTAAATATTGAAGCTAATCTTAATGAAATAACAACTCTTGATAATGTTCAAAGAACAATCGATGATGATCGAAAAATAATTCTATTGAGTTGACTATAGAATCATATTTGTTTTTTTTTTCCTCTAAGCATCAATTTTATTTTTAATTTTACATAGTCAATCATTATCAAAACAATGAAAGCACATCAACAACTGGCACATGATGTTCTTATACAAAATGTAATTAATATATTACAAGCAAAGTTCAACCCGCAAATTTCTTTTATCAGAGTAATTTATTTACAACTTTATTTAATAATAAAATAAGAAGTGTTTTTATTTCTTTCATAGAAATGTATTGATAATTTGATTGAAAAAGAATATCTTATGCGAGAATCAAAGAATCAAGATGTTTTACAGTATTTAGCCTAATAATCAATCATCTTTAGAAATATCAATGAATATGTATTGTTTTTTCTTCTTGATTTTTAATAAATAATAAAGAATCAATAATGTGTGAAAATCAATGTTTTTTATTAGAAACTTATTTGAAATTTTTGGATAATTTAAAAGAGATAATTTAATTTTATACGAAAAAATAGCATATTGATTATTTGAATAAACCGAACTAGCAAAAAGTTTGAAATCATAACGGAAAAGAAAAACATTTTCTGGTTGAAATGAAAGAGCTTTTAGCGATGAAATCTTACATCATTGGCTAGAAGTAAATGAGACAGTGCTCTATTATTTGATTGCGAGAAATCAAAATATCATTATATAAAAACAAAAACTCGTGTGCTAATTATTCTGAGTATTATTTGTCTTAATAAACATTAATTATTGATTTAGGCAGCATTTTACAGTTGATATATCTACTTTTCTAGGCTCAACTTTACTTAACTAAAATAACTCTCTGTCTGTCTATCAATGTAAAATAAAATGTCTTATTTGTTGAATTAATAATCTTTATCGGTATTTCACTAGTTTTTTCAATCTAAAATAAAAGACTTGATTATTCACTTTACTTCGAAAAACTCAATTCGTTGCTACAAGGGTGTGGGTGTGGGGGTTCTGTTTCCCAGATCTATTCCATCTTTTTTAGTTTATGAGATATTATAGTAACAGTGTAAAATATCTAGCTTCTAACTCCACCTGCTGAAAGAAGATCAGTTTTTCTGTATCCTATAGCAATATTTTTTAAAAATATGTTTTTAGCTAGGCATGTAGAGCTCGTCAAGCGCTTTAAGTATATGTTATTACTTTTTGCTTTGGACAAAGTTTTATGAAGAAAAAGCTGTCGACAATGCGTGTGAAGACACTTTCAATTTTTTATGTAGAGTGACATTGATATCATTGATATTCCCTTTGAAGAAATTTCATTTGAACAAATTTGCTTGGGTATCAAAAAGAAATGGGGGAAAACACTTTGAAACGAAAAAAATGTTTGTCTGATAAACTTCGTTAACAGCAAAATTTTATGCGAAGTTAAAAAAAAATTGTGTTCATGACAAATGTAGAGCGACATTTTCAATTTTGTCATTGCTATAACTGAATGAAAACTAAGCTGTTTGCGATAGAAATTTGATCCTTTTTTTCATCTCATAGAGTAGATAAATATCCCAAAAAATCAAGCAAAAATCTTTTTCCGTTCAAGAGAAAATTCAGTTTTACTAACAAAGTATAGAGCGACATTAAAGCCATCGGGATTTCATTTTAAACAAGCTTTAATTAAACAAACTTCATTGAGTATCAAGAGAAATACTAGGAAAAAACATTTTGACTTGTAAAATAGTTTTACTAACAAAGTGCTGAGTGACTTCAGTGGAAGTAATTTATACAGTAAGACTGTTGAAGCATATAGAAATTGCTTGTAATATTGTGAATCTCTACCACATTGCATGGAAGTGTTGGAAAAATAATATTTTTATACATGTTCCATATCGCTCTATTGAATACAACACTTACTTCTCCTTTATGATTATGCCATATTCTTATGTGAGATATTTACATGCACTCAAATATTGATTCACTGCAGTGTCAATGATTTTCTTTTTGTTTTTCAAACTTCTATAGATGAGACTCAAATAGGCAGATAAAAAATATACGATTAAATCTCTATGAAACCTTAATAAGTTGGAGTTCTTAAGATACAACAAGTATGCTTCAGTTTCCGACTATCATTGTATTTGAATGCAATGTCAAAAAAATACTTTTTTTCTAGTCTTTTTATGTCTTGTGACGTCAATGAATGCTTCATTGAAATGTTGAAGGTAGTATTTTGTTATATACTCGCATGAGAAGCAAGAGATGGTAGTTATCATATTTCCTTCATTATTTGCCTTTCTTCATCCTCATAAAATATGAAGGACAAATGTTGATCGTATATGCACTCATTCATCAATCTTTCTCATCAACTGCATACATGGCATTCACTATCGAATCAACTCGTATAATTCTGCTCGCTGTACCTCCCTTTGGCTTTATTGCCATGGTATTCATGGTCGTGGCGCTGGCTACTAAGGATTGGATAGTTATCGATACACCAAATGGCGACCGAATTCTTACCTTAGGATTATGGGAATTGTGTATACTTAATAAATGCGTTTCTGATATAGCTACGATACCGGCAGTGTTAACCATTATTACAACTGCGCTAATTAACATAGCTCTACTCGCTACTCTAGCGGTGTTCTTTATCAACCGTTTGCCAGGATTTATAGCCTTTGTACCTGTCTTATTGTTTTTCATGGCCATTATCATCTTGTTTGCCGATGTGGCCGTTCTTTGGCGAGAAATTTCTATACGCTCTCCTGATCTTACTCATTTAACCCAACAACAATCAACTATACCAAAAGTAGAATATGGCTATAGTTCGATACTGCTTATTACTTCATTACCCTTGCTCGTCGTATGTTTGGTAGTAGCATCATTCGTTGCAGGTTCTCTTATTAGCCGATGAGTTGTAACAAACAATCGTGCTAATCCATCCTCCACACCCGCATTCTATTACTAACATGTCATCATTTTCATCAAACCTACTTTAATAAATTTATAAAGCGTTTTCGAAAGGTTTTTTCAAAAGTCGCACTTTATATTTGTCTTTCTGTACGCCGGCTCTCTGACATTTAATCAATGAGTTCATTGATGAAAGTTTTAGCAGCACAGATATCCAGGTTATTTTATATTTTGATTCATGCTCACAGTCATTTTACAACTTTTTTCACTAGGTTTGTCGTTCAATATTTTAACAAACAGCGCTGCGCACAATACTTTGTGAAATACGATTGAAAATGAGTGTTGAAACTCAAAGCGAGAAAAGTGAACCCCCTACCCTGCCTCACAGACCATGACAGATATGTCGCATCCTATTATGGTTTTTCATACCATGTTCTTATTGATTTTTAAACCTACCGATTATGGTTTTCTTATGCATGATGTTACAGATTTTCAAAACTGAAATTGCTGAGTCCTCTAGGGATATTTTAGCTTGTATGAAATTCCTTAGACAAAAATACGATTCTGCTTCGGAGCACGATATTCAATAGAACATGTATTGGTTCAGCAAAACTACATGCAAGAGCTCGGATGAGAATTTCGAAAATAAAGAGCATCATGAAAAAAGTTGGCAGAGAATATGAATCTGTTCATCCTTTCCAGAAAGATATGATCGTTAGTCTTGAGATGGTACCACTCCATCATTATTGTATTCGACAGTACTCATTTGATTAGAATCAAAAATCTGAATCTTTCATCCACTACCATTTGGAAGTGTGGACGTAATCCTTCCGTAACACGTGAGAAACTTCAACAGTGTACTCAAATCGAAAGTATCACTGACTACATTTTACAACATCATCTCCAAAATACATCAAACACTTTCTTTCATCAATCGATGTACCAACATTGTAGTTTGACTGACGAGAATATAAATTATTGAACAATCTGAACTAAATTGATTTTTGTCAGACATATGAATGGTCTCCACGAAACGAGAGACCAGTTTTGCACGTCTATATAATGGTCATTCTTTTTTCTCTAAATAAACCATAGAAGCAACTCCCTTTTAAGCTGGTTCAACCAAAACAAATCAGACAAGATCAAGTTAATTGAATTCAGAATATTTGTAAATTGTACAGTTGGAAAAAAATCTCAGTTTAGTCTTCTGATCACCCTCAATAAGCTTGCTCAATGCTCGCTTGGTATCATCAAAATATCAATATATAAATTCCGCTGGTAGTCGCGTTCAGACAAGAATCACGTTTCATCGTACCGGTGTTTCAATCCCTATTAGATTTCAAAATAAATTAGTGAAGCATATCGTACATTCCTTCTACATATAAGTACGATAAAAAAAGACGGCCGAATCCTTTCTTCATCAATTGATCGATGATTGTCAGTGGCCAAAATGTAAGCTATGGCAGTAGGAAAGAATTTGGTTAATCAATTGTGATAATTACCTGATCATCGAAACTGCATTCAGTACGATCTGCTCTCTTGGCGTCAGCCCACTATGGTGGTTCCAACGATTTTCACTAAAGTCTTTTCTTGAATATATTACGCATTTAACTATAAATTAGCCACAACTAATTGATGAAAAAGTCATGTTCTTTCGATATAGTGATGATGATATTCAAGTTAGATTCATTCTGGTCTTGTTCAACATCGAACACATTCAAGAAGAAAAGGTTTGAGTGTAAACAAATTCAATACTAAATCGCGATAGGAAAAAATTTCCGTAAATTTTTTCATATCGAAAACTTCATTTAGACAAGCTATGCATCCAGTTCTTATTGAATCGTATAAGAGAACTTTCCGAGGTTCTCCCCGCTAATTTCAATGAAACTCTGACCATAGGTACTACACAGTAGTCCAGTTATAGTCATAAAAGGATTTGAGTTTAGGGCCATTCCTTTAAGAGTTATGAATATTTTATTTTTTTCAATATAGGGATAAAAATATTTTTAACGACACGGTCGCTTAATCGAAATACTTTGCAGAAGCCAGAGAGTGTGGGGCAGGGATGTGGGTGTGGTTTATGGGTGTGAATAACTTTTTTCTTGTCATTTACACTCACACTCACAAACACACACGAACAAAATGACTAAGATAACTACTGATAAAAATCTTTTGCTTACTATTTCGTGAAAGATAATCTTATTGATCACGATTCAATTAGACTTTTGAGTAAGCATCGATTGTTTGCTGCTTTGATAAAGATTAACAACGATCCTGACGTAACATGGGTGGAGGTGGGTATAGCTGTGGCTGCTGCAGGGTGTGAGTGTCAGTGTAACCGTGTGTATGAATATGAGTTAACGAGAGACCTATACCCATGGTTCGTCTAAATAATGTGAAAAAAAAATACCGAAATGAAAAAAAATCCGGAAAAAATGTGTGCGGCTGTGACTATCAATGTGGGTGCGACTTAGACTATCAACGTACAGCATCGATGGTGTCATCCTACCTTCACCCTCACACATCCATACCATCCACACTTCACTCTTCAGTGTTGAACAGATCGACATTCGCTGACTAAAAGTCGGCATGTATTTCAATATATATCAAAACAAACCACAGAAAATAAATTCAATGAAAAAATATATTTTCTCTCAAGGTTTTATTTTGACAATGCTATGCTCAGGAACATGTTGGATTGTCGCATGGCCATGAGCGACGTAGCGTTTGTGCTGTATAATGAGTGCATGTCCGATCAGTGCTTCCAGCACTACCATGGCCTGAATGGCATGGACCATAGGCGTCAATCATTGAAGTAAATATAGTCGGATCAATAGGACCTTCGACATAATCGTGAAAATCAAGGTAACCCGTATCCAGATCTTCTCGAAAACGTACAGGAATATGTGAATCCGCTACAGTGTACATATTGCGGAGATTTCGTATCGGTTCTACACCAGTAAAATTGGAAAACTAAAATTATAAATACAAAACTAGATGGGATGCATACACTGGAATTAAGTAGCGAGATAAAAGAACTTCAAATAATTTTGTTTATGTAAAATGACAGTGAACTAACGCATTCGAAATTGATGTGAAAAAGTCTCAAGCTTTAACATCAAAATATCGTCGACATGTAGTATTGAAAGATGCACCGAGTTTTTAATCTCGCGTATTGACATAACTGATCGAATTAGATCAGCTATCATTCTTCAATATTATTTTTAATTGATTTAGATGAATCATTCGGTAATTCGTTCTTCCAAGCGTTCTGAGTTTTCGTTCTTCTTATTTCTAATTCTTAATTGTACATGTTTGTCGAATACAGGCAAAGGCTCTGCGTAATGTACCGACTAATTCTTCTTGATTTTTTCAGATTCCTTCAGATCAGTTCACACTTTGTTCTATCCAGTCAATCTCAAACTACTTCTTCTTCTCTACTCACCCATTCGACCATCCAAAAATCGGTCATTTGACCATTAACAAGAACACTTCCATTGTACGTGGCGTTGCTTTGACATAACCATTCAGGATGCCATGCAGGAAATGTATAGTTGCAGCAAACATGTGCTGACGGATACACAAAATAATTTTGTCCTTCGTAGAAGAGTACAGTGCATGGAACATAATTGGCATCAATACCGGCTGCATACAGTTGTAAAAATGGGCATGTTGGATAAAAGTCGGTTCGAATTGCTCTATGCGATTCATCAAACCAAAAGTGTCCCCAGCCTGTATCACCATTAGACATATTGTAATAGGTCGTAGCGGCTGACCAAGCAGAGGCCATCACAGGTGGAGTTTTGGCTGGTGCAACATTCGATCGAATACGACGTCTGTTCGAGGAAGAGGCGACACACATTGTCGTCTCATATCGTTCTTGTGTGTCGGTGGCGGGTATTGTTATAGGAACGCATGTAAGACCATCGCAGCAGTGAAAATCGGTTGGAGCAAGCAATGAATCATTACAATTCAAGCGAGTTTCATCCAAACAGCGTGGATTCTCTGATGATGATGGACACAGTTGAATGGCTTGGCATTTTTCAACAGCAATGAAAAAGAGGATCAGGAGTATGCCAATCGGTCTCATGTTTTCGACTGATTCTACAAAAAAAAAGAAAACATGTCAGTTTGATATTTCACAATAGTGAGAGCAAAGTGAATATATTATTATTCTTATGATGCTGACTCGTTCCTTATCATACATACACATCTAGAATGATAAAGTTATCATTGTTTCTGCAAAGTCTTACCCACTATGACAATGCTTCGGGCGCTGCTCAATATTTGTCTCTCTCACGAGATGTCATCTCAAAAAAAAAATAAGAGAAAGATGCATTAAAAAGTCGTTGCATTCATCAAATGAATATATTCACTTTTTTAAGCCATTAGCTGCGGGTGACGCCAATATGCACGACAATAATATTCAAATACATTAAAACTTATTAATTGGTATCGGATATCAGTTTTCATAAGAGCTTTTATGAGAAACTCTTGGTGTAATTTGAGTTATAAATTCTTGTACATTAGTAATCTCAACAGTGCATCATAAGTATGATAGCAATGACTCATAAGAGAAAAATTACTCTAGTCTAAAGTACGTATAAGAAACTTTTGTCCACAGGATGGCGTTAAGTATTCATAAAAAAGTTGATAAGCTGGAAATTTATTACATTAATTTATGATCAAGTCTATCTATGCTATTTATTCAGATTTTTTCCGACAAATGAATCCTAGTTCTATTTTTGATTATCTTCATTACGCTTTTGAAAGTCTAATTATTTTGATGTTCTCTTTTACGTGTGACTAGTTTTTTGATGATGAACAATAAATGAAAAAACAGATTATATCATCCCTTGAATGTGACGACAGACTGTCGCTTTCGATTGACAATCAATTTGAAAATATCTCAACGCGAAAAAGCCAACAGTTGTCTGTTCAATAAGCCAAACACTATCCGCAAGTATATCTGGCACGTGTTCAAGAATTTTCTCTCGATGTATCAAACCGATCGAAAAATCTTGTTTTCACTTCACATCGCACTCTAAACAGTAACCAGAAACGAACAAGACTCTTTGGCAATAGATGGCGTTATATCGTACGTATTTTGACGACTACCTGGAAAGGCATACGCATGTGAATATATCTAACGAATGAACATGTAATCCATTGCCATCACCAATTGACTATGTCAATCTTTCTTCATAGGTAGGCATTAATTTTCGATATACAGAACCAATTAGATCATTACGATCAATAAAAATCATCGAGCAATATAAGCTAAGAAGCTCCACGGCCTATTTCACGTTCAATATAGCCTAAATAAATGACAATGTTTCGAGTTCTAGCCGATGAACAAATTTCGTTCAAATCGTTTCGTTAGATCGGAGCAGTTTGGCACATATATTCTGCATGAATTTCCTTTTGTGTCGAATAATTAAATACAGCATCACCTGTTAATTCAAGCGTAAATAGATAAACAGGCACGATTGCTCCGCCGAAAAGGACCAGTGAACAACTCTGATTGGTTGCATCGGATATACATTTTGCTATCTTTTTCAATGTCTTTTCACGATCAAACCCAATAGATGCAACTTGTGCCAAGCCAACAGTGAGCAAATCATCCGATGTCATTGTAAAACTACGAGTTAATAAATGAATGCTTGACATCAACCGTTATCTTTCTTATCTTATCTATATGGTTACAATCGACAAGTTGCACAATTTGCATCAAAACATTTTAACTATTAGACTTTTTCTTTCGAATATCATACATACCCACACACTTACCCTTCTTGTTGTTCTAGATAGCTGCAGTGTCAGCAATATTCGAATATTCAAAACTCGTTTGGATGAGGAGAAGAAATTTTTTTAACTAGAAAGTCTTGTTTGGTTGGAAAACCTGAGATTGCATTTCAAATACTGGAGCTTTAATATTACCAGATACTGAATAAAACAACAATTAGAAAAAAATATTGTTTTCATATTTAAAGCTGTCGACGGTTGAAGAGTACGATTGTGGCTTTGGACGTTGGTATCTACTCTTTATTTGTATTCACACCCACACCCACACCCTTCATTTCGAATATGTTTTCCTATTTAGTTATTCTTTCATATTATCATAGCCAGTTTACATAAGTATAAGTCATAATATGTTTAAATCTAAACGAAATAAAACATTGCTGCTTTTTATGATTTATAGAAGATAAAAAATAGACAACTGAAAATTGTTTTTACTTTTACATCGTCAGAGTCACAAGCTGCACGAGCGTTATTGAGAGAGCATTCAGCATGCCTGACAGCGACATCCTGATTGTTAAGATCTTGATACATTCTTGCTACATTAAAATGCATCGCATGCATCAATGAATGCTTCGGAGATGGTACTGTTTCATGAATCTTGAGTGATTTCTCAAAAAATTTAATGGCATCTAATTTCATTTCCATAGATCAATAAATCGAAGCAATGCTAGTGTAAGTTGAAGCTAATGACGGATCATTGGTAGGGGATGTTCTTTCTCTTATGGGTAATGCCTTCTGGTAAAATAGCAAAGCATTTGTTTCATCTTTTATCGAATGATAAGCGGTAGCAATATTGTTGTATATAGTTGCCAAGTTTGCATCACCTTAAGAAGGTGCTTTTTCGTTAATTGCTAATGATTTTAAATAAAATGTAACAGCATCGAATAGTTCTTCATTGAATGATAGATGGATGCCATACTTTTATAAATACTCGCTAAGTCTAAATTATTAATGGCTTCAGTACTCTCTAGAATGCTACGTGTTTTTTCATAAAATATAAGAGCATTGTTATTGTCTCTCATCTATTGATAGGCTACAGCAGTGTTGTTATACGTAATTGCTAGCGAATGTTCATGTTTTGGTGATACGTTTTCTTCAATTACTAATCGCTTTCTGATAATAATCAATAGCATTGGAATACTTTCCCATCGAATCATATATTGATCCAATAGTGCTGTAAATATTAGCTAATGATGAATCATTTGTTGTGGAATTGTTTTCCCGAAGTTCAAGAGTCTTTTCATAAAATGAGAGAGCATTGGATTTATCATTCATGGTATTGTATGCAACAGCCATATTATAGTAAGTTGTTGTCAATGAAGATTCATCATTAGTAAGGTATTTTTCAGAAATTGTGCGCGCTTTTTCATAAGACAAAATAGCATTTTGATAGTCATTGTTTTCGTACTATGTTATACCCATATTGTTATAAGTATTGGTCAAATCTTGATGATTCGGGTTACCGGAAGATCGCCAATTCGGACTTTCGCCAATAGGACATTCGTCAATGGCGAAAGTACAGGGATGTGTTGGCGAAGGTACGGTGGACTTTCGCCAATTGGCGATATTCCAGCGTGTCTATTGGCGAAAGTATAGTGGAGTTTTGCCATTGGAGAAAGTGCTATTTGGCGAAAGTTTTATTGGCGAAGATCCGGAATCCCCACTATTGTGTGTAATGAAGCACAGAGAGACAGAAATGCCATCAATAAGAAAGAGACAAATGAAAAATGCATTTATTCAACATTAGTCATTATGTTGCTAGAGTTTCGATATACTTGAAAATGAAATGATCTTTGTTGATGACACCTTATTTAAAGCAATTGTATTCATTTTTTTCTTTCCTCTCTTCATGTTTACATATCAATTATTACCGATATGCAAGAGTTAAATATTTCTCAGAAATGTAAATGTAACTTGTTGGATCAAGGCTTTTTTTGAGTGTGAATACGGATGGAGTTATTTTCGTTCGCTACGCACATTCATGCATATACACACATCCATCTTAGGTAGCATCGGATATCTTGATCAATAACTGTTCATGCAAAGCTATTTCAAACATTCTTTGTTGAATTGGCTTCAGCAGCTATCTTAAAAAGAATCTCATATGCTTCAGTTTCTTGGGAACATCATTCAATTCATTGTTGCACAGCTATTTTTAATAGATTTATTATACGAACACCTTCGAAATTTTCAGTAGCCTATTCATAAAAGTGGATTTCGAAATTAAATTTGCCACAACGAAAGAGACATTTTTCATTTTCATCATCGAAATCTAGTGCGCTATCGCATGCTCATTTACCGTCGTGATAATTATCTATTTTCATGTGACATAGAACTAAATTGACTTGCAAAGCAATTTTCTGTAGTTTATTCATAATGAGCATTCTTTGAGAAAAGAAAAAATAATAATAATATTCGACAATGATATCCAATAGAAATAAAACTTTTGATACACAGTCAATAATTCGTACGTCGGCAAGTGCTTTTAACACTTTTTGACTATTCCAAGTGTTGTTGATCGATTTTTGCTTGGGTATCTTTAGTTTATAGAGAAAATAATTAATTCGATGGTTATTCATAAGAATAATTCAACCAATAAACATCAACACTACTGTTAGATCGTGTTGCATAACATGTGATTCTGACTAAAATTATCATACAATGAAATTATGGACCTATTTATGTTTTTAACCATATATAATTAATGGTGATTTTCAAATAGGTTCTATGTCGCTATCGAGTTCATCTTCATCGTCAGTCATTTTTAATGTTGAGATGCATGTGATCAATGATATAGTTGACGAATTTCTAAAAGAATTTTTTTCATAGCTTTAGTTTGTTTCAATTCAATTGTTAGAATTTCGTACTGGTTTAAATTAAAAAACCTGTTCAAGATATTTCGTTTTCAATTGCTATGGAATACAAAGAAAATTAAATTAGCAAATTATTTCATTTAATGGATAAGATCCTTCAAAGAATTAATTCTTTTTTATCATATTTTATCAAAACAGACTCGGAGTTCATAATATACACTGTTAGTTAAAAAGTTCCTATTTAAAC